TTGGAATCATGTATGATTTTCGTTCCATTTCTCACGTGTACACCACTTTGTGTTGGTCTTTCACGTGGAATTCCAATAAAATTGATTCATGGTTGTGGCTGTAATGTGACAAAATGTGGAAAAGTTCAAATACTTTTGCAAGCCACTGTAAATGCAAGATCTCCTGCCTGAAGTGTGGGAGTGAGCAAATTTATTAGACCACCCGTCGTAAATGCATGAAAATACAAATATTTTAGAAACATGCCAAAAGCTTTTTAACACAATAATTGTTGTTTTTTATTAGGCAATTGACAAACTGAATTGTTTCTTTACCCAAAATTAAGCCGGCACACTGAGAAATCAGAAATCAATCAAGTAAGCAAGTAAATAATAAAGATAATAATAATAACTGAGTTCAGTTTTATTTTATTATATTTATATATCACCAAATCACAACAGCAATTGCCTCAAGGCACAATAATATGCTTGACTATTTTTCCGACTATTTTGTAAAAAAGTAAAATAAAAAAAATTGTGGATAAAACATCAATAATATTTTTGCAGTAAAAATATTATTTTATTTAAATAGCCTGCATATACTGCTCAGTTAACCATTACAGAAAACCCAAAAAGGATTCCTTTAATTACCAACACTGTCAATATTTGGGATAAAACTTTCATTGAGGAGCGGACAAATACATTTGCTAAGAACTGTTTACCAATCGAAACAAGACACTCTTCAGCCCAATTAGCTTAAAATCTAAAGTGATACATGTTGTTTTTTACTATGTCAAAAAACAATTAAGCTAGTTTTCGTGATTTCATGATTTTAGAACACTTAACCCCTTTGAAGCAAATATGTGATTTCTTTGTCATATTGGCCATGAGAGATGTCCAAGCACTATTGTCCATAAACGGGGGGAATGGTGTGTATGATTGTGGAAATCAGTGTATTCGGAAAATGGGGACAGAGCGTCGTCTTTGATAGCTTCCTACCCAACCAGGGAAAGCTTCAATGCAGAATGATTCCTGCTCCTAGCCATTCATTGGCTCGCCATCCTTTTCCATACCCCAAAAGGTTCACCTGGCCTGCATTAAATAAACAAGGCCAATAAGAAATCACAAGAATAATACAAAAATGTCAGCCAGTTAAGCTAAAAAACATTAAGTTATTCCTGTGTACACAACTTATAAATAGATAAACAAACAGTATATTTAACCAATAAGGATTTAACTAAAACATTTCAACTGCTATACACATAATATATAGCTTCACAACCTTTGTTATTCAACAACTATCGGTCAAATCAAAAATCAAAATCAAATTGTTTGGACCGGCAGCAGCCAATTAGCCTATTGGCTGAGCAAAGTTATGTGGTTGGAGTCATGCATTTGTGATGCGTTCATTAGCAGGAAATAAGTGCAGGAAATTACTAAATTCTAGTAAAACAGATTTTACTCTGGGTTGCACTTGTACTTGTGACATGTGCAATGACAATAAAGTTGAATTCTATTCTATTCTATTCTATATTCTTCAAGAACAGCTTGTTGCCCTACTGGGGCCCCTTGCTAACTCTCTCTCTGATTCTATAAATAACCTGGGCATCTATTTGGATAGCTCCTTTAAGCCCAAAAAGCAAGTGTCATCTGTAGTTAAATCTGGCTTCTTTCAACTATGCCAGATTTCTAAAGCTAAGCGTTATATACAATGCAGGGGACTTTGAAAAACTTATCCATGCTTTTGTGACCTCCAGGTGTGACTATTGCAATTATCTTTACTGTAGTCTCCAATCCGTCTCTCTTCAAAGGCTACAACTGTCAGAATCCTGCGGCTCACCTTCTTGCCAGAGCTGGAAAAATTGATTCAATCACTCCAGCTCTTGTTGATTAAATTGGTTACCTATCAAATATTGCGTTCAGTTCAAAATTTGGCTACTCCCTTTCAAAATTCAGAATAATATTGCACCCAGTCAGTTATCTCACTGATCATCTCAATCTGTACACTCCTCGCTCATCAGGTCAATCACTCCTGGCCCAACCTAAGTTTAAGTATGTGACATTATTGAGGCTTCTTATCAGATGTGTTTTATGCTGAAACCAGCAAGAATTAAATGATTCATCATTCTGATAAAATGTTTCCTGCATGTTCATCGAGCCAAACATATATTTACTATATTACTTCATCATTGGATCTGGACATGAACCTGCAACATGAAGTGGATACTGATACCAAACTTTGTAGAAACCTTGGTTTTTAGTTTAAATGACCAAATAACATCCAATCAAAAATAACAACCTTCTTTCAAGGCTAGAAGTAACATCCCCCAAACTCTCCCCAGACATGCCACCCGCCACACCTCATCAGGTGCAGATAATTAGCAATTATGCCTCAACAACACCCAGATGCTCAGACTCAGTACAAGGCAAGTAGGGATTACAGAGGGTGTAACACCTCATCACTGTATTATATCATTTACATTGTTGACCCTGTTTTTACCTCTGAGAATGACATTAAGCTCTCATTAGCACAATCCCATTTTAGATCAGCGTTTAGCATATACACTTTAGGATTACAGAATTTAAGATGAGATTTTCCTAAAATGAACCGGCAGCACGGTGGCGCGGTGGTTAGCACTTTTGCCGCACAGCAAGAAGGTCCTGAGTTCAATTCCACCATCAGGCCGGGGTCTTTCTGTGTGGAGTTTGCATGTTCTCCCCGTGTTTGCGTGGGTTCCC